AATGCTTTTACTTTAAATTCTCCACATTTCCTACAAAACAAAAAACAAAATATATATAAATATAAAAGAAAATTGAAAAATGCAATAGAATAAACATATATATGTGAAAAGTTTTAAAGTTCATCAAATTTAACCTACAAAAAAAAAAAGAAACAAAAGTTAGTTAACGAAATATAAACATAAAAATAAAAATAAACCAATACAAAAATACAACAAAATTTTTAAAAATACATATGAGAAAACAGAGAAAAAAAAAAAGAAGGAAAGAAAGGATGAAGAAGTGGAGAGAAAAAAGAGAGGAAAGAAAAGGAAATAGAAGGAAATGAGAAAGAAAAGGGAAGATAGAAAAGAAGAGAGGAAATGACAAATAAAAGGAAGTGGAAAAAAAAAAGTAAGAAAATGAAGAAGGAGACGGGAGGCAGAACAGAAAAGAAAGAGAGGAAGAAAGGAAAAGAAAGAGAGGAAGAAGAGAAAATGAGGAAAAGGAAGAGAAGTGGTGATATATATAAGGCTTATACAGACCGTTTTCGATTCGTATAATCTTTATTGGAGCACTGCACCAAAATCTTTGAATTTTTTCGAGAAAAATTTTGGCGCATTAATAATATTCAGACTGAAATCGGTCTGAATATAAATGAATTAGTGCAGAATCAAAAAATTCAAATTTACGATAAAAATTTGGCGCATAAATTAATTACGGACCGATTTCGGTCCATATATGTATTTAGAATACAAGGCATCACGTGAATATATTCGGACCGATTTTGGTCCGAATATATTGGGAGAAAATTCCCGGGGCACCAAAAATTTTCAATTTTTTTGAGAAAATTTTTGGCGCATTAATAATATTCAGATCGAAATCGGTCTGAATATAAATAAAGTAGCGTGGAATCCAAGAGATTCAAATTTACGGTAAAAATTTGGCATATAAATTAATTACGGGTCGATTTTGGTTTGTATATGTGTTTAGAATACAAGGGATCACATTAATATATTCAGACCGATTTTGGTCCGAATATATTGGGAAAAAATTCACAAGGCACATTTTCATTCTTTTCATTTAAGGACATCATCATTTTCTCGTGTCCTCAATCCATATATACGGACTGGTATCAGTCCGAATATAGGCAATCCGAGGGATTTTTTATCCTAAAGCTAAATTAAATTAAGTATGAATATATATACGGACCGGTTTTGGTCTGAATATATGCAAAGAATCCAGAAGCTTCCATGTTTTCATTTTTCAGACCGATTTTGGTCCGAATATGGTAGAAAAAATCCAGAAACTTCTCCCAGTTCACATTTTTATTCTTTTCATTTAAGGACATTATCATCTTCTCGTGTCCTAAATCCATTCCTGCGAAAACCAATTGCATGTACATCAACCCTACAGTCCCTTGGAACCACAAAACCATTGATTGTCTACCTAAAATTATCTTACGATGGTACGGAGTAATATCGTTGCAAAAGCACAAATGTATAAGTTCAAGGTTATTAGAGATAATGTTACATAATACTTTTTCGAAGCCACAAGCAAATAAAATTAATTTTTTTTATTTAGGTTAACCACTTTGGCTTGCAAACATTCGGAATGTTACGGTTTAAAACGAAAGTAGAATGAGTTAAGCATGAAATAACAAAAAAAATAAAAAGCTGTTGTTAAGGGGAATATACGGACCGATCCCGGTCCGTATATATATATACAGACCGGTATCGGTTCGAATATAGGCATTCCTAGGGATTTTTTATCCTAAAGCTAAATTAAATTAAGTATGAATATATATACGGATCGGTTTTGGTCTGAATATACACAAAGAATCTAGAAGCTTCCATGTTTTCATTTTTCAGACCGATTTTGGTCCGAATATGGTAGAAAAAATCCAGAAACTTCTCCTAGTTCACATTTTTATTCTTTTCATTTAAGGACATTACCATCTTCTCATGTCCTAAATCCATTCCTGTGAAAACCAATTGCATGTACATCAACCCTACAGTCCCTTGGAACCACAAAACCATCGATTGTCTACCTGAAATTATCTTACGATGGTACGGAGTAATATCATTGCAAAACCACGAACGTATAAGTTTAAGGTTATTAGAGATAATCTTACGTAATGCTCTTTCGGAGCCACAAGCAAATAAAATTAATTTTTTTTATTTAGGTTAACCACTTTGGATTGCAAACATTTTGAATGTTATGGTTTAAAACGAGAGTAGAACGAGTTAAGCATGAAATAACAAAAAAAAAATAAAAAGCTGTTGTTAAGGGGCATATACGGACCGATCCCGGTCCGTATATGTATATACAGACCGGTATCGGTCCGAATATAGGCACTCCGAGGGATTTTTTATCCTAAAGCTAAATTAAATTAAGTATGAATATATATACTTAATAAAAATTATACTTATTTGGTAAGAATAAACATGTATACATACAAAATTTTAAAGTTCACCAAATTTAACTTAGACAAAAAAAAATAAAAAAGCTGTTGTTCACTGAATATACAGACCGATCTCGGTCCGTATATATATATACGAACCGGGATCGGTCGGTATATATCATTTTAGGAAAAAAATATAAAAAATAAAGAAAACAGATTTATTTTATTTAATAATTACATAATATTACCAAACAACGCAAAAATATATTTTACCATTCAAAATAAATGCATTTATAAAAAAATAAAATATTCTTGGAATAATTAGTTAAAATAATAACTTAAAATTTGTAAAAGTTTAATTATATTATATATGAAAAGTTTTAAAATTCACCAAATGTAACCTAGAAAAAAAAAAAAACTTATTGTTTAGGGAATATAGGGACCGATCTCGGTCTGTATAACTATATACGGACCGGGATCGGTCTGTATATATCATATAAAAAAAATAAAAAA